CCAAGGTGCAAAATCGATTCGTTGTATATTTAAATCGAAAAGATTTGTATCACATACACACCCACCCACACCCACCCACACCCACACCCACACCCTCTTGTGTACATCTAGAAAATAAGAAAAAATAACCATCGCATTTACAAGTAGGGAAGAAAAAGAAAGAAATAAGACTCTCACTATGTAGACACTTGTTATTTTACTTCACTTTGTCTCTTCTGAAACAGGGCATGCTTATTTCAACAAAAGCGAAATTTTATTCTTTTGTCACCTAGCATTAGCAACTCAAACTCACCACGTTTTATGTTGCTTTCTGCTTTTTTTGCGCACTCGTCATTTATTTTCGACTCTTAACTATTATCGTTGAAAGCAGGAAGAACACGATACAAATTTGCAAAACTAAGCCGAGAAGGTTAGTAGAAATAGTGCTATCTTCCATATGGCGACATTCATGGAGATAAACCGTCGTTTATTGGGTAACGTTCGGGATGAACCAAAACAAATGCTCAAACCAATTACTCAATACAATCTAGAACCAATAGTAACTCTCGAAGAAGCCTGTAAACCATTGGAGAAGATCCTCGATAGTGAACTTCGACAAAACATAATAATTGCAAAAATGAATTCAAAAAATGGAACAGATAATCTTACTCAGGATGAGTCGGGCTCTATTCATTTGTATACGATGGAATGGGATATACGCGAAAATAGCCTCTATATAATACTTAATAATACATTACGTCAAGCCGATCGTACCAAACTTCACCCATGGTTCCGATATCTGAAACTATTACTCACAGCATTCTTTAAATTGCCGTAAGTTTTACTTTCTTATATGTGATGTGCGTTATAAACACATAATTATTGTCCTTTTTGAAGATCTACCGGATCGCAAACTGTATGGCGAGGAGTACCGGACAATCTAAGCGATCTTTATGAAAAGAACGAAGAGATAGCATGGTGGGCATTCAGTTCATATACATCTGCATGCGGGGTTCTCGAGTCGTCGCAATATTTGGGCAAGACCGGAACGAGAACACTTTTCAATATAGAAACAACAAGCGGAAAACGGATCCAAGAACATTCGTATTTTAAAAACGAAGAAGAAATTCTGTTGCCACCCGGAACATTCTTCAAAGTGGTTGACAAGTTGAGTCCGGCTGAAGGTCTTTATATAATTCATCTCCGCGAGATAACACCTCCCTATCAAGTGTTGGTGCCACCATTCGATGTCATCAAAGCGAGAGAAGTACTACCTACACCATCGTCATCACCTTCAGGTAAAATGAAAGCTTGCAAATATTTTACGTTGATTCAAGACAAAAAATGAATGCGGCTCCATTTGACTCTATTTTGGCTCTATTCGACCGAAAAGTTCGTTTGGCCTAAAGCTTTCAGAGATGGGCGCAGGTTTTTGTCTTCATATTTTTGTCTTCATTTGAACGCTCATATCCACGCTCTTGTCCGCTAACATCAACAAATATATGATGTCGGTCACATGGCCCATATTTCTTCCTGTTTTTCCTTTTCGTATGCATCCTCGATGTGAAGCGAATACAGCATGAGACGCAGGTCTTGCGTACAGAGGTCTTAGAACACACTGTATGTATTGAACATGAGCGAAAAACAGTATATTCATGTAAATGGACGGTGTAGGAAAACTGTTTCAACAAGCAGAGCAAGACGTGCATCGTTTCTTGTCTTGCTCTGTACGAAGAATGACTTTGAACAATCTTGTTGGGTATACTGTTTAATCTCATTATCTCCTATTGCATTGATGAATTTGAAAAAAATTCTCATTAAAATATCCTCTGTTTGTCTTTCATAGCGACAATCTACAAATGTCGCGCCGGAATCACTCTATAGTCATGTTTTTTCGGCTACCCCACAGATTCGATTTTGCATCTTCTCGTTTATACGTATTTTATTATAGCAACCAGTAAGAGTCAATGTGTTGAACAAGAGAAAAGCAAGAGATATAGCCACGACTATAACTCGGCCACGAGTCAACCAGAACAGAGAAGATATGACGTTCTAATGGAAGGAAGAGAATGAAGATCACTTATCATCATAATCCTCAGTATAAATATGTTAGCGATCTTTTTGTTCTCTTGTTTCGAAGTTTCGATTTATCGAATTTTTTGTTATACATCTTCATGAAGTTAAACTTTATCTTTCTTATTTCAGAAGCAATTGTGAAGCTTTGTGTGAAAACACTCTCCAACGAAAAATTCACTATCGATTGCAGACTAAGCGACTCGGTAAATGGTGTGAACGATAATAGATTTTCTTTGCATGCGATTTATTCATTTTAGGTGAGAACTATTAAAGAAAAAATAGCCTCCAAACCAAAGGGCTACAATAAAGCGGATATTAAACCCGATGATATGAAACTGATATACTTAGGCAAAGTTCTTGAAAATAGCAAAACGCTCGAGTCCTACTCCATAAACGAAAATAGCTTCTTGGTTCTCGTGACAAAACACAGACCCGATAACGAGTAACAAGCCTATTCCACGTGATATCACTTTTGCTTGTCATCAATGGACTCATACGATACGAAGTTTCTTTTTCTTCTGTTTTCTCAAAATAATTACAAATAATTTAAAGTTATTATTGCTGAAGCTTTGCCTATAAATAAACCAGAAAGTCATAAATAAAAGGAATGGAATTTTGCCTGAAAAGTATTCATTAGTCTTGAGATTTAAAATGCCGACGAGCCATTGCACCTAAGCCACGACCACTTTACGCAGAACCTTGCTCAATCAATATCTCCGATTCGGCTCTTATTGGTACAGAAAGTAGAACTGGTAAACTTTGGTTGAATCACAAAATTTCAGCTAAAACGGAGGAATTGATCGGTGTAGGTGGATATGGACGCAATCGTGGGTGTGTGGGCAAATGTGGGTGTTGGTATGGGTGTGGATGTGGGTGTGGATGTGGGTATGAATGAAGACAAGGCCAGCATCCACATCTCACACTTACACCCACACCCTGAACATTGCTGTTAATTTGTGAAACAATATAAATATATTGATCTGTCCAATAATTTTTCTTTTTATTTCGAATTTCATTTTGTCCTAGTCAAAAATTCAGTTCGAATTACGACTCAATTAATTGACCTATATGATACGAATACTATGAAATGTGTAGAATTATTTATATCAAATATTCAAAAATTGAGCATAACGCAAGTTAACATCTGAAGAAATTCCCGCCCATTTATTCCTTGCCAAAAAAATTTGTTTTCGATTTGAAAGCTTTCATTTTTAAAAAGGTCTTGAAGTTTCATCTCTCATGTTCCGTAAGAATGAGGACTTTACTAAGCCGCATAAGCCCTGAAAAAACTTAGTTTTGTGAACCTCTATCTTGGAGAAAAACCTGCTTAAGAAAATTGAGTTTAAAATATAGGCGTATAATGTATATATTAGATTTATTGAAGATACATTTGATGACCATATTATGTTTTTTTTATTTAAAATTTAGCAATATTCTTCTTCAAAGAAAAAACAGTTAAATGATTGAAGCAAATCGGCTTTTCAGATCCAAATAAAAATAACAACTTAGATAGATGTTGTGTTGATTTGATTAACTCGAGAGATAAAAGGGACAGCTTTGATTTATTTAATGAATGTAATGTGATGACGTTCAGATATCAGATCAGTCTGCCACTTTAACAAAACGCTATGGCTGGATAAGAGACTTATTTGTCCTGTAATCGATCTTCATAGAACTTGAACAAATTTTATTATTTGATGTATTTTTGACATAATAATACTTAAAAGAAAAAGACAGCACGCCGCGACGGCATTCCAACAATCATGCATTTCAAGTTGAATCAATATGGAATTTCTGTATTCTATGATTCAGATTATCGGCTACATAAATATTACCTTGTCGATCGAATGACAGGCCAACAGGGCCATTTAATTGATTTGCTTCTGCTCCTTGTCCATTGCCACCTATGATGATACTACCTTGTGTAGCTCCTTTGAACCAACGCATTACGAGATGTTTATGAGAATCTACAACATAGACAGCACCTAAGTGATCGACAGCTACTCCAGAAGGATATGATAATTGTGTAAGATCGTTTCCCTCAGTTTCATCACCTGCGATAACAATACCTTCTTTTGCACCTTGTATCCATTTCATCAAACGGTGGTTACCAATATCTGATACGTACAGTGAATAATCCTGATCGACAAATATTTGAGCAGGACAATTTAATTGATCGAGACGATTACCCTTTCCATTACCACCAGCTATGACGGTTCCACAAGTATCTCCTGTACACCATCGTCTCACTTCATGCTTTTTATAATCTGAAACATAAAGGTAGCCATTGCTATCGATGGTTAAACCCCAACAATCAATCTCCGAAATGATCGTTTCGCCAGATTTGCCATTTCGACGAGGCCATCGCACGACTCGACGATTTCCTTGGTCGCAAATTATGACGCTATCATTTTCTTTATCGATAATTACATTTGCTGGACCATTCAATTGATTAGTTCGATTTCCTTGTTTATTTCCACCAGCAACGACTTGACCACTCATTGCACCACAATTCCATTCCATAATACGCTGATTTGAGTATTCAGCTACATAAATAGTTTGATCATCATCTACGTACAAATCCCATGGATAATGTAGTTGATTGATTGCACTACCAGGACCATTGCCTCCTGCCACGGTTTTACCGTTCTGCGACCATTTTGCGTTAATATCAATATTTGGTAAATATAACTGTCCTACAATTAAATAAAGTTTAATATTTGACATGAATGTGATTGAAGCCTATTGAATCTTTTATAATGATGTAAAATCGGTCTATTCTTTCAAACTCAGCCAGATAGAGTAGACGAATGGAATCGGTTAAATATTTATTAATAAGTATTTACCCAAAAAGTCGAATTATTTTCATTCGTTTAAGTACTATAACTGATAGTGAAGCTTAGAATATATTTTAATGCAACCAAAATAGAAAGTTTGTTAGGCATAGTCTAAAGGACATTTGAAAATGAAAACGATACATTATTTTAGGCAAAGCTGTAAAAAGTTTCTGAATGCAATCAAATTAAACAATGTTCCAAAATCTGTTTCTGTTGTCATGCCCTCAGTTGAAAGGATACTGTTTATAAACGTGTTGTTCATATTATTGTATATGTCGTTAATTCAACTTACATTACTACTACAAAGCAATGGTCAACAAAATTCTTTATTAGAATTGAATCTAATTTGATGTAGATATTCAATAATACAAGTATTCATTTAGTAAGACATAACTCTTTGCTTACTAGATCCAATGCTCTTGATCTTGTTCTCAGATGCTACTGAATCATTTTCAATTATGTTGCTTGATAGTTTGATACGTTTTCGAGTTCTATTAGTCGTTGTTGCCATATAAGTTAAATATTCTGATGGTAGTATGTAAAGAAAAGTATTCCACAATCTTATCTTTTTATATCAATATGTGACTTGTTGACACAGTGAAAGAGAATAAAAAGCAAAGATTTAAGTCTTTTTTTAATTATGCAATGCAAACAAGTTAGACACAATAATATTGATGATCAAGATATATGATTTGCTTTTGGAAAACGAGTACCATATTAATGTGGTTTCCCTATAACAAACATTATTTTTTTTGACACCTGCATGCATCATTCTATTCCGGACAGAAAACTCATATTATGGAAATCATTTTTAAAGATAGCAATATGCAGACCATCAATACTTTTTCTAATATTCTAAAAAAACAGTTTTCTTCGTGAAAAATGAAATAATATATTTAACCAAAGTTCTTGAATCAAACAAAATTTTTATTAGTTTTGTAAGTTTTTTATACTTACTATAAAGATACAACAAACACATCGAATAAGAAACATAAATTGATATTATGCCAAAGTATATATTGATTGTTAACTAAAGAAGTCTCATTACAAATTGAAAAGCATATGATACAATATTTACAAGTCATTTTAGAATAATGTACCTGCAAGGATGTAGGTATGCAAGATATGAATACCCATACAAACGCCCACACATGTGTAAGATTACATGCCTAGCTTAAATTTGAGTTGATTGATGGAGTAAGCGTTAGATTGATTCTCTCACAAGCAGATTAAATATAAGCAATAGACTTATCTTATATTTATAGAGCCATTAACTTAAATAAGCAGTGGCATCAATCCAAAATGTATTATCCATCGACTGGTATTCATTGTTTTTTCTACTGTCTCATCGAAAAAGGAGTCGCTTTTATCAGTTAGAAGGCTCTATCGGTCTTTTTGAATGGATATGAAAGTGGGATACAGTTGTGGGTGTGAGTGTGCGCGAAGGGAAGAGCTACAGCAACACCCACATTCATGCCCACACTCACACCCAATATTTGATCGACACTTACGTCTATGTTAGTTCCATTAGACAAATGACTAGTTGTAAAAGATAAGCAGGAGTGGAGAAGTAAAAATAAGGCTCGAAACCAACTGAAAACAAATTAAGTTTCCATATCTCATTTGTATTGACACTACGAAAAATCAGTCAGAGCTAATAAACGATTCGACGCCAAAAATGTTGATACTGTCTCTTATCAAACGACATCTAGTCTCATTCGAACAGAAAAAACTGCACGACGAGCGTAAGTGTGCACGTGAATGAGAATGGAATGAAAAGGTACATCCGTACTAGACACACACTCAGTTCAATTGTCTGCTATCTTTTCGTTCGTTGCCATTTTCTTTTCAATTTGAATCTGCGTTGTGCTCTTCATAATCGTGTCATTTTTGTTCTTTTCATGATCAATCTCATTGATGAACTCACAGATCTATCATAGATTCTCAGTTATTTTCGTTTCAATGCTATGCGATCTACGAATATCTCTCTATGTTTAACTTGAATGTTCATTACGAAAAACAAATGCTTATTGACTCATTATTTACCTTTATTCATGATAATTAGTTTTTGCTCAGTAATCTATGTTCTTGTTATCTTCTTTCTTACCTGTGAGAACAAATTCCACTGAGATTTACTTATATGTGATCGTCTTCTGTATTATGTTGACTTTTCGGTACTTGAAATGTATAGCATAATCATCCATGACCTGATATCTACTCTCGTCATTATTTTCTGCAATTTCGATCTTCTTCTACATGTTCTCTAGCAAAAACGTCATCTTCATCAACCGATTCGGTGGCATAAGCATCAAAAAATGACAATTCAACAAGTGTCCATTGCTTTCTTTTACCCTCTCGTCTTATATTCCAAGTTTTCTCATATTATATCATTATTCGGTTTCCCTTTGTATATGCAGTTTCATTGTCGAAAGTTCGAGCAAAATTTTCAAAGCCAATCCCAAATTGCCGAAGACATGCTATTTATCCTGAAACATTGACTGTGAGATGTGAGGCCATGAATCATAAGCGTGTGGATGTGCGTATTGCACTACTTTGTATTCACGCATAGGCTATGATCCACACCCACATATAACCACTATTCATACACCCAAACAGTTTCGGTATGATGTGTCCGCAGGTGTTTCTTTCGATTACAACGAAGATCTCTATTGAAGTTACTGTTTCAAAATTGTTCATTTGGAAACAAAAAGATTTCAGTTTAGATAAACTAAACTGTAGATATATTTCTCACAGTCTTTGGTGCTTGAGAGCTACGTTCACGCTGTCTGTCTCTCACGGTCTATGACAGTATCTATTTTAAAAAGTTACGTAATTATTTATTATTTCAACGATTATTTTAACTAATGAAGTTTTTCGTTAATTAATGTTTTAATTAATAAATTCGTGGTCTAAAAATCTGGAATAACATGTCGAAATGTCTGTCACAGTCTGTAAGGCGAGCTTAGGGGTTCACTTTTGCCGCTGTATACTTCAACACGCATTTTCAATTGTGTTTAATAAAAAAAAGTGAGATTTGAAACAGTGGCTACAATTTTTGTACTCAAAATTGCTCTTCAATAAAGTAGACTTGAAAATTAAACGACTTTAAACGCATTCATAACACAAGGCGATGACATGCTCTTTTTATCTGGATGTTTGACAGATGGTTACGATCCCATCATATATGAATATATAATAGAGTGAGGAATGTAAAATGAAGACAAGAAATAGAGAGAAAAGTTAGGAAGGCGATGTGGTTAGTTAATATATTGTTGTTGGCGATAGTTAGGTAAGTAGAATCTTCTCAAGCTCATAGAATTATATAATCTGGTCACTATTTTTAGCCTTTCAGGTATGTTTTCTATTTTCTAGACTTACATCTATTCATCGTTCCTTAGCTTATTAGATCGAGCTAAGAGTCAGACATGTGAAGGTGCCCGTCAATACGACCAATGTTCATCGAACATGGAATGTGGCTACCTTCGTCTGATGAATGCTGGCAATGATAGCATATGTGCTTTCCTTCATATTAAATGTTCTGAATTGGTCTCGTGTGCCAACGATAACCGAGCATGCTATCGACCTGATTATCTATGTGTGAGTCATCCGCGATGTCAAACTGCTCCACTATGTTATCCAGTGGATAAGGCACTTCAAGTTGTGTGTCCACCGATGCTACCAGCAACAACGAGTGAGAAGTGAGAATCAAGAGTTTCTTATATTTGTCTTTTCACTTTCCAGCTCTACCGCCAGTGGTGCCCGATGATGGCATTTGTGAAAGTGCCACATGGAACGTAACTGGAGTCACTGTAGCTGGTGGAAATGGGGCGGGCTCCGAATTGAACGAGCTCAACGGACCTCTTGGATTATTTGTGGATGACGATGCTGCCGTTTATGTTGCAGATACATGGAACGATCGAATAGTCAAATGGGTGCCTGGAGCATCTATTGGCAGTGTTGTGGCTGGTGGTAATGGGGAAGGTAATCAGAACAATCAGTTAGATCATGTAGCAAAAGTTGTCGTTGCCAAGAATGGAACCATGTTTATTTGTGATCGTGGTAACTCGCGGGTTCAGCGATGGTTTAAAAATGATGAGCACGGGCAAACAATTATTGCAAATATTTCGTGTTTGGGACTGGCAATGGATAATGAAGGATCCCTGTATGTTTGTGACGGTGAAAGGCAGCATGTAATCAAATGGCATAGTAACGATATAGTTGCTGGTAAAAACGGAGAAAGACCTGAGATTAATCAACTATTGGAACCTGTTCATATATTTGTTGACCAAGATAAGTCCGTCATTGTGGCTGATTTTCAAAGTGCTCGTGTGATGAAATGGCCAGTCGGTGTCAAAGAAGGTATAGTTGTAGCTGGTGGTAATGGAGAGGGAGATGGTGCTAATCAGTTGAATGGAATGAAATATTCAACAATAATGTTAATCGTCATACTACTATAGTATCGTATTATTTTAATCAATAAAGAGAAATACGTAGATATTGAATCACTAATCCCAGTTCTGTTGTCGTTGATCAAATGGGTACCGTCTATGTTTTGGACACTGATAATCACCGCGTCATGCGTTGGTTCAAAGATTCAAAGTCGAGTAGTGTTATTATCGGTGGACTGGGTTGGGGCAATGAAATAGATCAATTATCATTTCCGGAGGATTTGACATTTGACCGACAAGGAAACCTTTATGTAGTTGACAATGATAATCATCGCATCCAAATGTTCGCTATTGACAAAAGTTCCTGTGCTAAAACTACTCATTAAAATAGTGTTGTTAATTGAACAATCGGCAAATGTCTCTATGTTTTTCATATTAACGACTAAGAGTGAAGCTCATCTTTGCAAAAAAAGTACATTGTGAAGAACGCGGTGAGTTTATCATTTGGTACATCTGATTCTTTTGGATTCTTTAGAAAAATCAATAAATTTCGTTCATCGTTCTTCACTTTATTAAGAGAAACATTGGCATATGCGTTTGGCGCAAGTCTTTGTTGATTAACACATGTTTAGTTAAAAGATAAGGCTGAGTATGGGTGTAGAACAGAAACCGAACCTCAACATTCACACCAACACATTAATTTTTCACGGTTAAATAATAAAAATCGTCAAATGAGAAGTTTGCTCACCCATTTGTACTTATCAAAACTAATAATATACATAGGGCGGTCAACAGGCTCTGAGAATTGGTACCATTCCTTCAGTAAGAAGTACATTATATTTATTTGTCTTCAGCAAAGGTTACAACGCATCATAAAAATGTTCGATTTACTTTTGAATAATCTTTTTGTATTTATCGACATGTGTCAAACTGATGGCTTGTTTATTGCTTAGTAATACTCGTCAATTTTGTACCGAAAATTTGACGAATTTTATGTAACGGACACTGTGATGATGTGATGTAATGACGGGCGTTGAAAGACAGCTAGGTATCGCAGTATTAGGTAGAGACAAGAGAAAAATCCCAGCCTGTAAAAGGATAAGACATTTTACTTGTCGTAAGAATATAGCAACATGTAAACAAACAATGTTTGCCATTTTCTGTAAGATAATGTGAGCATTACTTATTCGTCAGGTGCATTCTATGCGGTCTGCTAATGCTATCTAATGATCACAATAATGTTTAAAAAGCATTAGTTAAGAAGAGTGTGGGTGTGGGTTTGGTTGTCAATGCAGAGGACAATCACATCTATACCTCACACTGGCATCCTAACAATCGTTGTCAAATGTGGAAAATGTTTTTTCGGATAAAACTGATCTCCAAAAATTGAAAGTAGGTTCGAAAAATCCCGCTAAATCATTCGGCATGAGATGAATTGTTTTATATTATTATAAAAAGATAATAGCAAATCGAGAAAAATAATTTGTTCACAGAAATTAACGATTGGTTGTGAATGTGAGCGGCAGTTATCGTTTAATAAGAGATCGACAGTCATATCTAAACTCTTAAATTAATTCGACAGTGAATTTTATTCAGTATGTTAACAAATACTTCACAAATGGAATGATGAATCTTTGGAGATGAGAATTTTCTAATGAATCAAAGAAAAACGAATTACTAAGAAGTCAAACTATTAGGTATAAATGAATAAAAATCATGCTTCTGTAATCTGAAAGGTCGAAAACAATCTTCAATATGTCTATTGTTCTCTAAGAATACGTGGCATTTAGCATATGAGATGAAGTCTAACATACATTAATAGTTATAGACAAAGTGAAATATAAATACTTCAATAGCCGATATTTTGTTTTTCTAACCGACTTTTCTTTTCATATGATTTCGTTCTATTGAAAAGAACACAGCAGAGATTCGAATACGTTCTCATCATCATATAGAGAAAGTGTTATATATATGTGAATGATAAAAGAATTTTTCTTTTGATAAAAACTGGTTTATTGATCTAAATGTGAGAGGGTTGGGAATAAATTTAATTCAAATGAACAAATCTCCTATGGAAGGTACGGTAAGTTAAGGTAAGGTTAGAACTATTTTATTTTCATTCAAGATACAGTATGATGAAAGCTTGTCTGGTATATCTATACATCTGAGTCATATTATGGTCTAACAGTGAAACTCTTCATGTCTTTTCCTCATTAATCAATAATAGTTTGAAGAGTACATATCTTAACGTTGACCAGCATTTTCTCGACAATTGTATTCCTTCATACGATTTCTCCTTCTTTTATTCACGTTGGGAGTGACAAGTTATTTTTTTTTGTTGAGCACATTTAATAAATTTTATCAACGGGACATTGTAAACGATTTTCATGTAGTTAATAATTTTATAATATTTGTCTGCATACATCACGTGCAGTTTTCTATCCTTTAGAAAAATGAAATGACCAGATAGATATGTAGGTAAGCACACAAAACGAAAAGTCGTCCTGTGACGTTCTCTAGTGTAGACATAATGTTATATTTTCTTCAATTATAAAAAACTGTATTGTGATAAAAACGTTTCTGTACTTTTAGAAGAAAGTCAGATATGAAGAGTAATTTTAACGAATACGCGATGGAATTTGACCTAATCTGTTATTATTTTACAAAGCTTTTTTCATTGTTATACTTGCAAATGTACACTACGCCGATTAGATCCTAATATCATGGAATGGTTTCTTTCTCATAGAGAACCTAAAGAGTTTTTTTTATAGTAAGCAGAAAAAAAGCACTAAAATGACTTCACGATATATTTTCAATAAAGGAACGCATTGTGTAAAAGGCAGTTATTTCTTATTAGTTGTTTCTCAAGATTTTCCTAACGCGGAACTGACACATTGTTATGACAACGGAAGCAAATTATTGTTCATACTGAACTTAGATTTCATTATGGACTTAAATTCTGAAAAAGTCAATAAGGTTCATAAATTATTTTAAAAAATCGATATTCTCAGGGGGTCTTTTATTATTTGGGGCGAGGGCTTTCTAATGTGACGATGGCTATCATATACTTCTTGTTGCGCTAGATGCTAATGTTCTAGTAGTCTTTTTATTGTACTTTACGCTTGGTGTGTCGATAATAATCGTCATGAATTCAAAATCGAATAAGATATAATTAATGTCAATAAAATTCATACTAAATTCAACACACTCATCATCATCGACGGGAGATAGCAACAAGCATGCACCTTCATTTTAGAAAATACCATATGAAGAAACTTCTGTCTCTACCAATGAAATGAAATTTGTCTATTATCAAGTAATAGTTACTTGTAGATATTCATTGACTGTGAGATCCTTATCGTTAAAACTCAAGTTGAATGCTCTCAATGTTCTTGAGTAAATATTGTTGAGATTTACTAAATACATTCAGAATATGATTTTTAGTCTTCTTTTCTCTGCTCATATCTGATCATTTCTTTACTTATAATCTTATGATGACTGTCAAACTTGAACAATAACTATAGCAGGGATAATAATAAAAAACAGTGAGCCTGTAGTAAAAACTTTAAGAAGAAAACAGATCTTTTTTTCATAAACCGTTTATTTGTACAATCAAGTCCTAAATTTAACATTGTTTTTTTATAATCCAAGCAAGCTCGATACCGGAAATGAAAACAGATAGTTTTCAAAGTAATTTTTTAACGTAACTACGGTGATTTCTAATAGTATTTTTCGGGACTTCAAGAGACTTCATGGGACTGGATTTCGCTGATTTTCTCTTAGGTTATAGTTATATATGTAAAACATCAATTGATAATCAAGTTGAGTGCGTTTGTCCAAGTGGACAACAATTAAAATTAATAAATGACCGACGAATGTGTTTCGTAAGTAAAACAAAAAAAAAGAAAAAGTAAAGAAATTTATTTGGAATATTTTGGCAATATCATCATTATATGCATCAGTTAATTTTACTTGTCGAAATAGTCACTATATTTCAAACAGAGCTGAGCACAGGACCATCCTGTCATGCCACCCGTCAGGACAGATAAGAACAGGACGCATCAGTTGGTTCTGTATTTAATCGGATTTTTCGGGCAACTGACACATTATACGTATCGCTTCATGATACTTGATATAAGTATACAAGAAAGAAGGACCAATCTTAATACTGAATAACTACCTACCATTTTAATTGAATAGATCGATGCAAAAGAATAAAATATTTTTACAAAAGTATTTGTTTTTTATATTATTTTCTTTTTCTTTCTATCATTTTTTTCATCAACTACTTATTCATTGTTCTATTTCTTTTTATTAATAGCATCTGCTATCTGTGCAGCTAATGATGATGAAACCCCACAATTTACTACTTCTTATATATGTATTTATTTATTTATTGTAATAAATGTGTTACTAAAATAATAACTCAAGATGTTTTATATTTTTTGTATATTTATGTACAGGGAATGGCAAAATTATAATATCCCCACTCAAATTTTGAGTACAATAAAGATTTCTTCAACTAAAGGTTTCATTTTCGATATAATGCCATATCTGTAGACATATAGTAGCAATCTATCATACATCGTATTGAGTTGAATTAGATCAATTAGTATTAATGAGTAAATTCAAAACTTTCTACAGTGTAAGTGTGGCATGATTATAAGACTTCTCCTACCCTTCACCAAAATATAACAATATTGAATTAATGCCAATTTCGTCAGCTCAAACGATTCGTTTTCGGCAACCATTCGAAAGAGGAGAGTCTCAGCTACATGTTGCAAAATAAATATTTGTGAAATATTTCTGACCCGTTAAGAACTTACACAGTAGAAAAGTTAAACCTTAAAATTATCCCTACATAGTTCGACGAAAACAAGTTTTTACCTCTTCAATGTAATACTGTTAGATTTAATCTATATTCAAACTATACCATTAGATGGAGCATCAAAAGCTGCATAGACTACATATGTTTTGACGAAAGACTTTAAGGCTTCTGGTAATTATGAAAATATATTCTAAAAATGTCTTTTATTAAAGACCATCTAAAAAAACCTTTGACTGCATGCCAAAAACCACGTAGGTAAAATGAACACCAGATTCGAGTATTTCCTGCCCAGATTCGCTCCTAAAACCTATGTTAGATTTCTTGTCACTTGTGTTAGGTACAGAGTTTTACTCTCTATTCAATGGTGCTATTTGCATTGGGGGCCATCGGACGAAAAATGGGCTTTACCCCTGAAATAGTCAGTTTTCTCCTATGTAATTATAATCAAATAACAGCATAGTTTCTGGCCAAATTTGCTCCATGACTAACGTTGAGTCTCTAACCGGTTGTCTTAGGTGCAGAATTCTATTTTCTATCGAATGACATCACTTTCAATAGGGGCCATCGGGTAAAAAATAGGGGTTCGGTTCCAAATACTAGGTACGAGACCCGGCTTGAGCAGTAAACTTTGCCCGAATTCGCTCTATGACTTACGTTGGGTCTCTAACCAAGTCCAACATATGTAAAATTTCATTTTCTATCGCAAGGTACGATTTTTGATGGGTGTCATTGGGAAAAAATTAGGTTTTGGACCCAAATGCTGGGTCCAAGGCCAGAAATCATCTATATTCCCCGTCCGAATTCGATATGTAATTTGTGTTGGATTTCTAGCCGATACCCTTATATGCAAAATATTATCCTCCACCCAATGTCGCATTCCAGTTTACTGTAATAATTTATGTATTTGCTGTCGATAGTTTCACTTTTCTCGATCTGTTTTCTGGAGATTTATCTGTTCGTTTCGGCTGTTGTATATCTTGTGAACTATTTTCTGTAGTTACAGTGAAGGTCAATAGCTGCTGAATGAAACTATTTTAATAAGAATTACAGAAAAATACAATTCATTTAAACGGTGATATCATCAAAGACAAAAACGATTGCTAATCTTAATATTTGTTGATGTGTGCAACAAGAGACAAATAGAACATGGCAATATTTGTTTTATTCAGATAAAGCAGATAAATCTCCATATGAAATTCTATGCATACAGTTCATGAGAACAATAGTCGTACGAAGACTAGTCTGTACAAGCAGAGTCGTTCAATCTTTCGGTATGCATGTATAGGGACATGTGACTGATGCTGGTGGTTTCAGTTGTACGTATATCATTTTTTCCTTCCTTTTATGATGAGAATGAATGCATTATCCTATCTATTGTTTCAAACATTAAGGAAAGAAGAACTGTGCAAAGAGGCTATGCAATGAGAAAGAGGCTGTATGGTGTGGGTGTACATGTCAACTTATATCTCATGAGGCTTATACACCTACATCCACATCCTCTTTGTTTTTCATTTAGATTAACCTTAACGACAGGTTCAACGGTAAGTATTCATGGATAAATATATGACTTATGCATTCTGCATCATTACCTAACAGCACAACAACGACGACGTAAACGGGCGCATAGATCTAAGCAATGACTACGTTCAGCAGACAGAGTAACTAAAAACTATTTATTGAAGTATAGACATGATGAATGCATGAATACAAATCAATTATTGTAATAGAGAAGCATGTGTTGGTATATTGGCATTTAGATCAAACTGTTTAACTTTCATCACAGAAAATTTCGAAATGTTAATCTCGATTTTTGTCATAGGATTTATGTTTCATGTCACTTCGTCTTTTATATGCGGAGTATTTGTTGGGTATGGGTTTAATTATGTGTGCCTCGAGATGATGGCTGTCTTCTTCACACCTACACCTTATCAAAAAGTATTAATGCTTTTTGTTTAACCTAACATGATAAATGAAATTATTCACTGTTGTCATTTTTCCCATTTTTTCAAAACGTTAGTTGTGTTAATTGAAGCAAACTAATAGCATATTGGTTGAATATTGTCATTCCCTTCTTTTATACATATGTCTACACACTCACATCTAAGCCCTACTCGTGTTGACTATCGAGAAAAAGACCAAAAATTTGAATAAAACTTTAATTCTATAATTAATATAGCTCTTAGTAACATTTTGGCATAATTATTAAAATAGGCAGCCATTGTACTGGCACTGCTATAATCGATTCACTGGTTGATCAATAGAAACCGGTCGTATACATTTTCTTGTTTAGCATGGTTTAGGATTTATTCTTTGTGTTTAATGATGTGCATATGACAGATTTTAAGTAGAAAAAAAGAGCTTGGTTTGAAACTCAAATGCGACGCTTCCTGCTTTATGATGAACTCAGTTTGATAAGCGGAAATTTCGGTTGTATTTCTCTCAGTTGAATAATTTGAAGGCCATTTCCTTGATCAAGACATCCAATCACTTCAAATTGACGAGCCGGAAGAAGCAAAACTTCATCTTCTTCAGCATAAAATGAATGTGATCGAATATTTTTACCTGAATCACATTCAATACTGAACAAAGTTCTTATTCCTTCCTTTCCCAAAAAACGCTCATTCTTCAGTGCTTCAATAGACACAGTACATGAAGAGAAACCCCACCAAACAATTGTACTTCCTCGAGAATATTCAGCAGCCAGATCCGATTTAACACCACGATAGACAACATGATGAGTTGGTGGAAGTTTCTGAAGAGCATTGATGACTAGTCGAAGATATAAAAACCATGGTTTTAGCTGTTCACGAACAGTGGCTCGTAGAGTATTATTGAGTGTAACATAGAAAGATTTCTCGTACGGTTCCCATTCCATTGTATAAAGCATGATAGATGCAGACTCATCCATAGTTAAACCATCTTTTGGACTATTGCAATTTTGTTTAGCAATCCAAGTCATTTGTTCGACATCTGGAATGAGCGAGACAAGAGGATTGATAGCATGTTCAAGAGAAACCAGAGGCATTTTCTCAAATCCTTGAATCGGTAACAGCATCCGTCGTGGTTCACCAACAATATCAGAAAATCGATGAGTATGGCTTTGTTCATCAGCATTCTTAAGTATCGTACTAGAAGCTTGACCTGAAAAAAAATAAGCTCATGCCTTGTGGACCATTTATCAATAATCTATTCGACAATTAATAAGACTTGTTTAGGTTAGAATTTTGAAAAAGTGAATGACGAAACAGACGAGACCTGAAGTTGATGCGTAGCGCACTTACAGACTGAAAGAAGACACCTGATAGTGCCTTTGGTATGAGAAATAAAAGTTGGGAATAAATTTGAAGGAATTCGAAACTTCGATGCAATATTTTTTCGAGCACAAATTACACTAACGAGGAAACTACTGTAACTGGTATTCACTTTTTCTGGTCTCATACTGAGCGCACAAGGATGTCGTGGTAAGTCTAGCAGGAATCTATAAGTGTTCGTTCGTGCGGACGATTGCAGTTAAATTACGAACACTTAACTGGACTTTCGACCTGCTTTTAGGTATATACTGATAAAATAAAAAAACAGAATTTTGACGAAAAACTTTTGCCTAAAAGTCGAATGATTCGTAGAATGTCCTCAAAGTTTCAGCGAAAAAAAAATGTTCATTTGTTGAGATACTGAGCTATCAAAAAATGATCCTTTCATATAAACATTACAAAAAACGAGTTTACTTGAAAATTGAATCTATGGACAAATGAACACTCTTTTTCACTAAAATTTTTCGAATATTATACAAATCATTCGAGTTATCTGTGGACATAATATTAAATCGAAATTCTAGATTTTTTTCATGCTTCATAGATATTTAAAGCTAGATTGATAATTGAATACAATAATCATAACTTGATTTCAATGATTTATACGAACGAAACATTTCAATTTTTCATTACTCTTACTAAGTCATTTTTGTAGATCTAAAATTAACCCGAAAGGCATTTATCAGTTTTGATAATTCCTTTGTATGATATCGTTTTTGGTAGAAAATTCATGAGAAAAAAAACAGATTCGGTTGAATTTTATGAAATAGCTTAATGATGGAAATTACTGTGAATGGTCGGTAAAGGTGCATTCTTCAGAGATACAGATGCTTTGGTAGTTGAAGAAGATATACTTGAATTTGATAACGATACATAATTAGATGAACTATTTGAATAAACAGGTGATGCTACACCGAATGCTTTCGACATTTCATGAAATAAACTAATTAAATCGCTTCCAGGCTAAATGAAACAAATATTATTGATATATCAATAAAAAAGATCTTTACGTGATGCCATGAATTAAGATAAGGTAAAACGACAAGTCCATCTGGGTTGACATCGCGCGATGCTGGAGAAATGAACATATCCGATGTCGGTTTCACATAAACCAGTGGAGCTTTCAGAGGATGATCTTTTTCTAACCAAATTTCAATTGGAATGTTGTATCTTTTTCCTTTATATTGAGTACGAACTACGCCCTTAAGAATCAGCAAATCTTTCGAAGTACCATCACTATAATAGTAAGGTTCAATCTTTAAAAACAGATGAGTAATTGACGAATTGATCGCTTGAGTCACATCACGTCGAACCAAATCTTGATTAACAACCTTAAAATTAATAAATTGTATTTAATCTTATTTTATAAATTATCTCAAGTACTTTGGCTCGTTGAATTATAGTATCGATATCTGTTTGAGACTGTTTCACTTCAGTATGATCGAATGCATTGGACTGAAGATGGATAGTAGTTGATGTTTGTAGGGGTTCAATTGAGTCTACGAATAAAAACTTACTAGAACAATAAAGGTATGAATAATATTCAGCAATAACTATAAGAGGACTGTTATGCAAACAATAGTAATTAAGAATAGCTAAGGAAGCAGGTCAGCTAAATCAAACATGAGCCCATGAGACAAAGTCCCCGAGAAAAAGCATATAAAAGTCAGTATAAAAGAGTTCATCATAATGAACATGAAGCTTTTGTCTCTAGCCTATCATATTGTTGAAGGACACAGAAATTTGGCAGGCTGGCTCCTGCTCTGTGTTCAGAAGTTATTGCCATGTCTCTTAGGCATTTTTATATGAGCTGAGTCTTTTTAGCTAAGTCATATCATGGCGTACTGCTGCGCTCCACGAGGTTGCCCCTCTTGCTCTTGAGCATAGCTGTGCAATTCGAATGCTTTTATCCCACAGTCAGATGTTGCTTACTGAGATGAAGCATATCCCTCGCTTTCATACATTGTAGTTTGAGGGGAATTTTTCATCTTTACGACTTTTCATCGCTTGGCGCTTAGAATCAAGTTTCATTGCTCGTCCATATTACTTTGTGACTCGAAGCATTTTCTTCTGATCGCTAAACACCGTTCAGTAGTCTCTTGCTTTTTTGTTATTATGCTCATCTGCTGATACACTGTCGTCTACGCTCGCAATTTACCATTGCGTCTCTCATATTTTGATGCCTTATCTATTGAAATTCCCAATGAAGTTAAGTTGATTGTTCAATCTCACTCTGCTGGGTAATTGGAGTTGATGACTATAATGACAGAAAAGGAAGCAAAATGATCATGTAAAATGTAGAAAATGGCGTAGAATAGAGGCCAATAAAATGATTAAACAAATGTGAGATGGATATACAAAAGTAAAGCCACTCATTGTTGAAAGACAAGCAGTTACTCCTCGATCTTAATGAGGTAGCCAGAATATTGATCATGGTAAAGTTGGACTTCTAGCTTTATCGAACTTCTTGAGCGCATCGAAAGATGCTTTTCGAAGTATAATGCTGTATTTGCCTTGGTTCAGAGTAGTCAAATCCCGCTAATTAATATTATCAAATAGGTTTTCTCAAAAACTATACTTGTAAGGGTAATTCAAACTCAAAGTTTGTGGCATAAAATAGATTAGAAGTGTCACAAAAGTTTTCAAACGATTTTAATATTCATTGTTCTCGCATGTAACAGAAGCAAACTCTTTGATAGTTTGGCAGATTATTCGATATTTTTAGTACTATTTAACCGCAAATTTCAAGATCTACAGCTTTTACTACGAATGAGAATCAATATAATCAATCCAGCAGCGAAAGTCTGATATAGAATGGTACAATAAATATTATTTTGTAGGATCTCTTTAATCAACACGCATAAGAACAGAAAATTTTTGTTTCTACATCTGTCCATAACACAGAAATATAAAGATCAATAATATCCATTATGAGTGAACTAACATAACATGTTACATCAACCATCTACTAAAGATAAAAATGAATTTCCCTTTTTTCATATTATACTTATAAAACTTGCATCCATCATGGAAAGCAAAAGATACTCCAAAGTTTATTACTCCGTCGGAGTATCCACCTTGTTATAGTACGAACAAAGCTATGGGGCTTGAAATTTAGAGAATACTGAAGAGAAACAAGGTAAATGATTTACCAATATTAGATGCATCTCATACAACAACAACAATCGAATATACTCAAACTGTAGAAGAAATCAGTCGATTAAAAAGAATACATCATTAGAAACATCATTGTAAATGTTTAAAAGCAGGATTATAAAACATAAAAAAGCTTCGATATGCAGAATGAAAAACTTATTAAAATTTAAGTAGTGCAAATGGTTCAAAAGCGAACTAGAAATCAAAAACTTTAACTTTTTAATATTGTGTATGGATTAGCAAAGAAATATGGTATTAAGAAAGGGAATAAACTTTGTGAATGGACTCATATTTTGAATACTGATTTTGGTGGTATGTTCTCATTATTTTTTCAATATAGTAACCATAATAAAGGCACCTATACCGAATCAATGTGTAATATTATATATGAATTCAAAGCCAAATTAAAAGAAAAAATTTGGAAGCATTATGTTGTGAGGTGATATTTGTTGACAAGGATTGCTTCCTGAGAAATGTCTTAATTTTATCGATGAAGGGGCAGAACGAATTAGACCAGAAGGTGATAATCGTCATACAAAAAATATGTTTTGCTAGGGACACATATGCACAGCTTATCGGAAAAATTGTATCAGAAAAAGCAGCTAAAGAACTAAATGATTTCTAAAATTTTGTTGTTCAGGATGACTAAAACTGTAAGCGAATGATTAGGTGGCTTCGGATGCTGTTAAATATAAATATGATCCTTTGCCAATAGAAAACGTTTGCGGTTGTATTAAAAGAGATTCAGGGGTGAGAACACAGTCACAGTCAATAATTGAAAAATGAAATTAAAACGATTGAAAATAAATTTTGTGTTTCTCTATGTCAATGAACGATGAATAAAATATCAGCATGATTAGAATTAGTAATTAATCAATGAGATAACCAAGTAATGAAAACTTGATAACTTGATTTATGCTATTTTATTTTAAAAACTTTTATTGTGCTTAAAATGATAACTGAGATGATGTGGAAAATTGAGAAAATAGTACATTACTACGTTGCTACCAGTTCTCACTCATAGTAACGGCTATAGATCTCAAACTTTGCAGTTCTGCAGCAGTACTAAGTATGTTAAATTATCTACTGTAGTTTCAAAGAATCTTCTTTTTTTGTATACGAGAACGATGAATTTTAGAATCGTTTCGAAACGTCTAGAACGTCCTTTATATTACTCAATGTCACGTTTGCCAAATTTTTTGGTCATATTCGTTTGATAATATGCTTTTACTGACTTTTTTTCCGGATACGAACGGCATCAATCTTTAGTATTTTGGCTTCATAGAAAATGTCATACCTTCAACAGATAAATTTTCTTGTACATATGCAGGCATGGCTGTTGATTTATAAGACTTTTTTTGTTGTTCAGAATAATTGAATGGTGTTGGTATAGGTTGATCAAGTGCTTGTATCATCGGTGGTACAATACCATTCCGAATACACATACATAGCCCATTTATTTTGCCAATCATGCAATACGATGATGGTGGTGTTTTTGTACGATAAAGAAAAATAATGTCGTTAATCGATTTCATTCCAGCTTCACGAGGAATCATTTTAACAGCTATTTTACATTTTATTGTGCCTTTCTCTTTGGTATCAATGGTGTCAGATAAAATTACATAGTTAGGTGGGCTGAAATGAAGTCAAAGTATGAGTAGTGGAATTGAAGCTGTTTTCAATCATATAATTACTGCGATTCATCCTCATCAATCAATCTAATATCTTGTAACACAATAGCTGAATATTTCGCTAACGGAAAGTGACGTGTTATACACAAGAAACGACTTCTTCGCTCAAGTATTGAATCGGGTATTAAGTCCGCATCTTGTAATGGATCATCATATGCTAAATACATCCAACATTAAGCCAACGACTTTACTTTTATCGAATCACTTACTTTTTCGAATACAATGGTAGCCCGTAGGAGCATTGTTAGGCCTTGATACTATGCAAATGCCCGTTATGGGTAAATTCTGGCAAGTCTCTGAAGAACCCAATGTCGCTTTTGGATTATTGCTACTATCAATGGTGTCCATATTATTATTAGTGAAAAAGTGTCGAAGTAACTGTGACAGAAAGAGAAAATTAAAAAATCATGCACCTATTTTGAAATTTGGTAGGTGCTTGGGTGGGTATGGGTATGCACGTGTGGGTGAATGATAGTGGGTGTGTGGGCGAGTGTAGGGCGGAGGTGGGTGTGGGTTTGGATGTGGATGTGTGGGTATGGTGTGGGTGTTAATCTTCATTTTACCCACCCACGCCCACACCCTAAATTTACACGCGAAAGAAGAATGGAAGATATTGAAATAAACATTAACTATAAATTTCAATGCAAAAAAATCGAACTTAAACGAAGCAACAGTACTCATATAAAAACTTTAACGATTAAAGAGAGAAATATAACAGAGATAAAACACCAATAGTTATATTTGAAAAAAAAACATTTTTTGGCAGTTTAGAAATCTTCATGTTCACCGACAAGATATTACATTTTAGCAGTAGATGAACAAAAAGAAAATCAGAAATAGATGCTACAATAGTAGAAATAATGATATACTCGCAAGAAATTTTCGTGTAAACGCACGAAAAATATTTAACAAATGTGGGACGTCAATTTATATTTTCTTTCAAGTTATTTATACTTAAATTAAATTTTCGGTAATTGATATCTAAAATAAATATAAAGTTTTTTTCATAATTTTTATTTCAAATCAATTTAAATTATCATAGATTATATTTAAAATAAATATAACGTATGACATTTTTTTTAAATATAAATTATGAAAAAGAAACTTTGAATTTATTTTTTATTAAGCTTCAGTAAATTATCGATAATTTATATTTATTTTAAATTAAAAGGAAAATGACACCCCTGAGAAAGCTATTCTTTTAATTCCATAATAATAAACTCACTTTATCTAAAAAAAGTACAGCTTGCGTGAAATAAAAATAATCTAAAACAAAGGAAAAAGATTTTCAACAGATGCGCACATGTTTTTGTAAAACTATAATAAAGAAAAGATGAATACGTTAGTTACAGGTAGTAGTTCACTTTAGACATAGGCCTTGTCTACACTACAAAAGTTAATGCTGAGTTAAGAAACGTGGTTGGTTAAAAAGTTAATTCATATTTAATACACTTTTCGAAGACGAATTAAATTTAATGCACCAATCACGAAAGAACTTGATCCACTAATTAAAACGATGAATATGCCTAGATAAATTCGCTGTATGGCATCGACAGATAGATCTTTTCAATATGATGAACTATAGAGATTGAAGAGAGAGACAGAAGCGATATTTTTTTTTTCGTGAACACGTGCTAGAATTATTCACTTCGACTACATTATAGTGGTCATTTCTCAGATTTTTTTGATGCATTAAATTCATAAGTGTAGACTCATGTAAATTTAATTTGAAATTAATACCGAATTATTTTTCTAGTGTCGACAAGGCCATAATAGATAACAGAAAAGAAAATGTATTTGTTGAAAAGTGTGACCAACGAAAAGTATGGCACGAAAAAAAGAAAATAAACGATAAAAATGATAGGTGGCTGCTATAGATGACAGTGAATTTCTCAGATATTGCTTATCACTTTTTCTTTCATCGCATGCCACTGTCATCTACAGCAGCCATCTATAATAATTTTTATCGTTTATTTCTTTTTTTTTCGTTCCATACTTTTCGTTGGTCACACTTTTCAACAAACACATTTTCTTTTCTGTTCTCTATTATGCCTAATATGAACTAGTACCCAGTTATATATCAAAAAGATCCCCGAGTGACAAGAAAAGAAAATATTCGACAATAAAAACTAACCACTATCTACTACACACAACGAATTTAGGAGAAATGACTGAGAAAATAATGTTTTTTTCTTCATTTATACTGATTGGTTGAATTTTAAACCACTAACGAAGGAACCTTTTCAAATGCCCCCTCGGATTTCAATGAATTTTCGTCTATAGATACTACACGATGTCCTAGTAAAAATTTTGAAAGGATATGGGTTCATAGCGCTTTCTTCAAAAGTTTTGCATATTTTTATTTTTCTCCTATAAGGTATAACATATAATATTTAACAGAGGATTCGTCAGACTACCAATCAGACCGATTCCTGCTAAATATTTTTTTCTATTTATTTAGAGCAAATGAATGACCATATCGAGAAACTTATAAATCCAAAATATCAAGTTTTTCTGGAGTACTTTTGAAAAATACCAAGTATAACAATGCTCGTATTTTTGTGGTTGGATCATAAAAACTCAATAAAATGGTTTTTTACATATTGATGATTATTTTGAAAATTTTTCTGTCTCTGATCGTTTCATTGAGCCAACATAGGTCTAAAAAGACGTAGAATCTCAAGGGTTTACAGAAACTTGATTCATTTTCTGACAGCACCATAACTCCTTGAGGTTAGAAACAAATTGCAAACAAAAGAACAAGCATAAAACATAGACCCTCCTTCTTTTATGAAAGCTGAATCAATTACTAAAACTTCTCGTAATGAACAATAGTACACAGCAATTTGTAGAGAATTCTTCTCTGTAACTTTTGCGATCTTTCCTCGCTCAATGGGATGATCAGAGACAGAAAAATTTTCAAAATAATCATCAATATATAAAAAACCATTTTATTGAGTTTTTATGATCCAACCACAAAAATACGAGCATTGTTATACTTGGTATTTTTCAAAAGTACTCCAGAAAAACTTGATATTTTGGATTTATAAGTTTCCCGATATGGTCATTCATTTGCTCTAAATAAATAGAACAAAATATTTAGCGGGGAATCGGTCTGATTTGTGATCTGACGAATGCTCTGTTAAATATTATATGTTATACCTTATAGGAGAAAAATAAAAATATGCAAAACTTTTAAAGAAAGCGATATGAACTCAAATCCTTTCAAGATTTTTACTAGGACGTCGTGTAGTATCTATAGACGAAAATTCATTGAAATCCGAGGGGCATCTGAAAAGGTTCCTTCGTAAGCTGATTTGCCACGCTTGGTACGCGCACAGTGCTTTCGTCACACTGCGATGAGTGCATCGTGCGCGTTACGTAACGTGCATCGTACAACCCCACACGGGCTGACATAGTACCATTCAACTTTACCTTCATCAAGCAATAATTTCAACTACACGTGTAATTAATAATTTAAAAGAAAAGTCTATTGTATGTTGTTAAAAATAATCATACTTATATAATGAAGTGAAGAACTGTTGTGTCAACCTGATTGTTGTCAGCAACTACTGACGAAAGTATTCGAGCTTTATTTGACTTGCATCCACGTCATTGGGAATGATGGCAAATTATTTAAAAAAAAAGGAACATGATGAAAGAAAAAGAAAGAAAAAATCTATGAGTCAATAGTAGTATCATGTAACAATCATTTTACTTGATTTTATTGCAAGACTGCAATTGGAGGCTGATGGCCTCTAGGAAATGATGGGTGTAGATGAGGGCGTGAATATACGGTGTGAATGTCGGTGTGGGGTGCGGGTGTATGGGAGTGGTTGTTTGAGTGTGGATGCGGGTGGGTATGAGTATGGGTGTGAGTGTGAGTGTGAGTTCTTGTGTAGCTATTTTCTGCCCTTGTTCGTACACCCACACCCAAAATATTTTCCATATTTATTACAAAATGGGAAAGTGCTTAGCGAAATTTGTAAAGAAAACGTTTTTCTAGAAAAAGAGTTGTGGAAAATTATTTTACGTTTTTCATTGAGTACTTTTTAGTTGAATTACAAAATTCGACAGAACAAAATCCTGTTCAAACATGATGTTGTATCGTTTGAAAAATTTGCTTTTAGTTGACGAAGATCACTCATTACAAGAAAATTCTGAACATATACTCGAAAAGAACATAAAATTTTGACTCTGATTGATTAGTTTTGATTGTCATTAATTGCTTCTAAGTGAGCCGAAAATGAGCAAAAATTTTCCATGATGACTTTTGGTTCATTAATGTTTTAAAATTATATTGCTAACAGCATTTATGGAAAGACTCAGTTTCTTCATACATGACTAATATAATGTGTTTACATCTACTTTTAGTTAGCAAACATTATGAATCTGGAAATTTTAGGCAGTTTTGCAAACTTAATACTAAAATACGTATTAGTAGTTTGTAGGTGTTATCAATGGAAAAAAATTGAATCAAAGACACCGAGTAGTATAACATTGAACGAGTCAGCTACTGAGGACATTTAGTTGACAGAAATTATAGAGAATTAAATTTGAATGTTAAAAATTAATTTAGTACACTAATTTTAAAATATAAAGATATTCAGTTGAAAAAGCAGAGCATCTATTCTTTTATCCTTCTCATAGTCAATATATCCAACTTGTTTTTATTTTAGGATATAAACTTTCAAAATCTTTCTATTGCTATAACAGGATTATCATAAGTCTATTGCCCATTGAAATAAATAAAGCACCTATGCGACGATTTTCAAGTTGTCTTCTTTAATTCAACTTCGCTTATGTTTAGCAGATTCATTTTATATTTATTCAATGAATGATAGAAGATTTTGTAAATCTTTTTA